GGTTTGAGCTGATACATAGCTCTGCAGACAAGCTGTCTGCCCTTAACAAAAGCCAGGATGCCTTGCTCCTAGCTTCCTTTGATTAAGTGTGGATTACCTGAGAAGAGGTGTTGACTGAAACTGGTCAGGATGTTTGGGGTTTCTTTCCTTATGCAATTTGAAGGTTATCTTATAGAGATGCTAATTCAGTACCTACCTGACTGCTAGACGTGACTAAAGTCCAGGCACCTGGTTGCCTAGGCAACAGCCTTTGTGTGTTCCCGCTCATTTGGGATGGATATATAAGATGTTGGGACAATAAACGGAGATTATGGCCTTTTCCAAGATGACCGTGTAAACTGTGTCGGATTATTCCTTGCGACTCCATTCCAGCCAAGTTAGAAAGTTTGTGTTGGACCCAAACGGGCTCCGACACATGTTTGCAAGCAAATCTTACGGATGTGATTCCAGTTGAGGTTCCCTTTCCAGGTCTAGGTTTGCACCAAGTTGTCAAAAATGAACTGACCCATTAAAATTCTCCTGCTTCACTCTCTGTAGCAGTATCATAGGGAACATTAAATAAAGTAATACTACATGATTTGGGTTATTTTTGTTTGCTTTTCTCTTTACATAGACAGAGCTTCTTGTCACAACTACTTCTAAAGTAAAGGTTAATGGATAAGAATAAGTTCATGGTATTTCTTCCAATAAATAAGGTACATGTGATTTCTGTGTGGACTTCACAGTGTATTTGGCCATGTAGTTGGTTATCTTTACAGACCACACTGAACCTACACCTGAATCAACAGATACTGTTATATTTACAATGGTTTTTTGGTAGCCAACAAGGGTTTGCCGAAATTTCAATGGATAATATAAATCAGAAGAAGAGATTGGATCGCATCATTAACTGCTGGCCCTGCTTAGAGGACTACAATTAGAACAGCTAGAGTCACAGGCTACAATGACTGGTTGATCTTAAGTAAGTCTAATTGATTCACTTACTAGCTATGTGTGGGGTGCTGTTTGTTCTCTACCCTTCCCTTGGGAGGGCTTAAGTGGTATATATTTGATCAGGAATAGCGTCTTCCTCTGGGACGCAGACAAGAATAAAGAAGATATGATAGTAGATGAATCTGATCTGTGTGTCTGGTGAAGAAATGCAGATGCGGACAGAAGGTCTGCCCTCTATGTCCCTTTATCCAGTCATGTGACAGGATTGGGACTTTTAAAAATAAGAAACACAGCAAAGAGCTAGAGACAGGGTAGGTTTTAAAAAGTGGATTTCTGTTGGCCTGTGAACTAGGAGTGACTATGCATTTTTTCCTTTGATCTAGTACTGCCTCTTAAATCTGACCCTTTCTCTTGCAGGAATAAGCACTTCTAACAGAATCCACTGGAAAAATAAAGCTCTCCATAGTGCCAAGAAAAGTGAGATAAATCTATGTTTTTGAAACCAAATGTTTAATGCGAAATATTCATGTCAACAGGATTCAGGTTGGTGTTCCCACACACGCATGCAGTGCGTGCTGATCGTGTTCTGCCACACTCCTGTGCTAGGCTCCCCCAGCTTCCACCTCTGGAATCCTTTCCAGCTCATACTGACCACTGGTCTCCTCCCAGGTTAGTATTTTTAGCTTCCGCATACAAGGGGGAAAATATGGCATTTGTCTTTCTATTCTGTCCTCATTTCACTGAACAAAATGTCCTCCTGTTCCATCGTCTTTGGCACAAAGGACAGGATTTCATTTTTTTTCTTTATGGCTGACTTATAGTCCTGTATACAAATATAGAATACTTTCTTCATTCATCTGTTGTTGGGATGAGTCATGTTTGAGCGTCTTTGAGTGGTACCATAACGAACATGGGTATGCGGGGACCGCCTTTTCAGGCTGAGTGCGTTTGCTTTGGCTATTACCCAGGAGTGGGATAGCAGAATTATACAATGGCTCTATTTTTAGTAACCCCCATGCTATTCCCCACATTTCTTCATGGATGGACTAATTCGCACTCCCACCGACAGAGCACGCATGCCGTTTTCTTCATATCCTTGCCAGCATTTATTAGGAAATCGAAAGTTAGTACTCTAGGAAAATAAACTTAGCAGGGCCATGCTGCTGGAGCCTTTTGTCAATTGAACCTGGAAAGTTCAATGCTTTCCTTAACTGAGGACTTTGCATCACTTTAATAATAGTGACAAGGAGCTGCTGTGAAAACCTTGTTACCCATGAACATATATTTTTCCTTTAGTTGTACATTTATTCTTCTATTTATAAACCTCTATCACATGTGACCTTTAACTTTATTATAACCTTGTGTGTAGCAAATTTTAATAAGCATCATTAAGTTCTGATGGGTTAAGTATCTCGCCCGTGTCATCCAGCTATTAAGCAGTGTGAACACACACAGAAGTGGGCGGGACTTCTGAGCCTTGATTCTTTTTCTCCTCTAAGGCACGAGGATCTAAAAATATAGAAGGTAAATTGATCTCTGCAGTTCCATTTCAATACACGGGTGATAGATCAAAATCAGTTTACAAACACTACATTTGTAGTAATTTTAAGCAAGGTGGTTAAATGCACAGTACCTGGTGGTTTGAGGTGCTTGGGTAGAGCCTCATTTTTTAGGAGCCATTAGAGTTGATGCCCTAAAAACATCTTTCCATGCAGAGCTATGTCACATAACGAAGAGGCCATGAGGATTGCCAAGTAGGTGACCCTGCAGTTACCAAGTACTGGGATGTTGGTACCTCTCTCTTCCTGAACCAACAGTGCTGCCATGGTTGCAAATTTTAGGTTCTTGTTTACCAATCTGGGAAGGAGGCATGGGCTTTCTTGTTTCTTTCATCAAGAAGAAAGAAAGACTGAGAAGTCACCAAAAGTCTTTCTTAACTGGCTCTTGGATCCTGGCTGGTATCCAATACCCAAACCTAATCCATGCTTAAGAGAAAAAAATTTAGTGTCAATGGACACTTGAATTAGCAGTGTCTCTATTAGACAGTAGTGGTTGGTAAACTGAAGGAAATTATTCAGTAAGAAGTCAGTGAAGAAGATGTTGATAATTTGATGACACCCTATCATTTCCAAGTACATTGTATGTTCCAGGAATTTCTTCAAGAACTATAGGCATTAACTTAGTACTCATAGCAGACTGTTTCTAGCATCCATAATGGCAGGATGATGAAAGAGAAGCTGAGGAGGGGTGTTGAGGAACAGACCTAATCAAATATCGAGGTCTCATATTAGAGTGACATCTGTTGGGGTCCAGCCTTGGCGGGTTCTTACGTTCCAGTGCAGGGATGTATGGATTAAAAATGTTAGGCAGAAAAATACCAGATATACAGAAGAAAAGGACAGAAACACAGAATTGTCAGGAGGGCAACCCAGTGGATACTGAATCTGCCCACATTTATTTTCCATATGCTTTGAGTGCCCCAATCCAAAAGGGTGGGGAGAGAAGGCAAAAGACTGCTTTACCATGATACAAAGAACAAACAGAAAAATTACCTCTTTAATACCTGAAATATCAAGTAACTATACACTGAGTTACATATTCTGCTGTTTAGGCAGGACATGCAGTGGCCATGCCATAGGCCAAGCATCCTGCAGGTAGCCATATCCTGGGGCAAAACTCCTGTCCTAACCTTGAATGAGCAAGAATAGGCCTGAAACTCTGACCTTTTGTCAAGGTAGACTGGATCCACATTCATGAACTCCGACAATCAAAACATGTTAAATGCATGTATGACATTCTCAAACAGTTATTATTTCTAATAGACCAATTCTTTTTTCTTTTTGTTATTTTTATTTTATTTTATTGAGCTATACATTTTTCTCTGCTCCCCTCCCTGTCTCTCCCCTTCCCTTCAACCCTCTCTCATCGTCCCCATGCTCCCAATTTACTCAGGAGATCTTGTCTTTTTCTACTTCCCATGTAGATTAAATTCATCTGTGTCTCTCTTAGGGTCCTCATTGTTGTCTAGGTTCTCTGGGATTGTGATTTGTAGGCTGGTTTTCTTTGCTTTATGTTTAAAAAACCACTTAAGAGTGAGTACATATGATAATTGTCTTTCTGGGTCTGGGTTACCTCACTCAACATGTTTTCTAGTTCCATCCATTTGCCTGCAAATTTCAAGATGTCATTTTTTTTCTGCTGTGTAGTGCTCCATTGTGTAAATGTACCATTTCCCTTATCCATTCTTTGGTAAAGGACCAATTCTTAAAAACCATCTTCATACACACACACACACACACACACACACACACACACACACACACTGTAGAGTTAAATTGCATATATGTGTTTAGAGACAGAGTAGTATTGCATTGTAGAAAAACAATGTGTGTTGTTTTCTTAATCCACTTTTCTGGCAATGGTCACTAGGTTCTTTCCACATTATACTAGTGAAATAATGTTGCATTGAATGCGATGATGAAAATATTTCTCTGCAATTTCAGCCAACCAACCTACCTTTCTTCTCTCCCTCCTTCCCTTCCTCCCTCGTTCCCTCTCTCCCTCCTTCCTTTCCTCTTTCCCTTCCGCCTTCCCTCCTTCCTTCCCTCCCTCCCTCCCTTCTTCCTTCTTTTCTTCCTCTTTCTTCTTCTCTCATATAATACAATGGCAGTTTCCCCTCCTTTCACTCCTCCCAGTTTCCCCTCCACTCCCCTCTTCCCCAGATCAGAGCAGGCCTCCCAGGGATCTAAGGAAACACAGTATCACAAGGCACAAGGAGACTACAAACCTCCTCTATTATTTAAATGAGATTGGCAGGCAGATAGAGACCCTATTTCAGTTCCGTTGAGGAGCAAAATTATTTTCTCCAGCTGCCACATCATCTCACACCTCCACCAGCAGTGCTCAAGGGGCTCTTTTGTGTGCAACCTTACCAATATTTATCTTTTTTTTGTTTTATTTTTGGATAGTAGTCATTATAATAGTGGTAAAGCTTGGAGGCATTGTGCTACCTAACATAAACTAGTTGCATAATGATAAATATCAAATAATTCCACTTATGTGAGATGTCTAAAATTAGATTCCTAGGAATGAAGAATGGTAACTGGCCTTGGGGGCTTTGCTGCTCAATGGATGTCAAGTTTCAGCTACTCCTAATGAAGATGTCTAAGATCCCTGATGCAATAGAGTCAGTAGTTCATAGAGCTGTGCTGTGTCCTTGAAAGATTCATGTAACAGTCTTCTTCTCACAAAAACATACTAAAACATCACACATACATGCATATATATATATATATACACACACACACAGTCTTAAAAAGAAACTTTCAGAAATAATGGCTGTGTTTATTAATTTGATCATTGTGTGAGTTTCTTAGGTTTCTGCAACTTTCCAAATCAGTCAAATTATACATATTTAAAATATACAGATATGTCACATGTTAAGAACAAAGCTGTGAAAAATAGCATATAACATTTACTCTTAGTGAGAAAATAAATTCTTTCTTTCTCGGTCTTAGTAAGTGTTTTATTAGTGTGAGAAGACACCATGACCAAGGTAATTCTTACAAAAGAAAGTATTTAATTGGGGCTGGCTTACAGTTTCAGAGGTTTAGTCCATTATCATCATGGTAGGGAGCACAGCAGCGCACAGGCAGACATAACATGGTGCTGCAGAAGTAGCTGAGAGTTCTATATCCAGATCAGCAAGCAGTAGAAAAACAGAGACTCTGGACTAGACATGGGCTTGTGAACCCTAAAATCTCATGCCATAATGACACACTTCTTCAACAAGGCCATACTTGCTAATGCTTTTAAATAGTGCCAAGCACTCACATCTGTGAGCCTACTGTGGTCATCCTCATTCAAACCACTAGACCCTCCTTCTTCCACCACACAATTCGCTTCTGTAAAGTTCTTTCTGAGCATCTTTGCCACAGAGAACATGATTTCTTCTTTGGGTTCTCTTTGGAGGAGAATCTAGGCAAATCATGGACAATCAGTAAAGTTCTCTACTCTTTGTTGATCACTGTACCCAACATGTGGTTTTGTTACTTTGACTACCGACTTCTCAAGGTTCAGAATTAGGTCTCAAACTATTCTTGAATCTCTGGCACCTACACTGAGGTTAGGTTCATTGATTTTTCTCAGCTCACTTTGGCTCTTGATACAACCTAAATCTTCTCTACCAGTCTAGGATATCTGCCACTACACTTGACTAGAAGAAGAAATAAGGGAACAACATTTCAGCTTCGGTGTTGTTGCTGCTCCTTTTGAAGAAATTATCACACTCCACAACCAGAAGATTTGTTTTTAGCCTGGCTATCTGCTTTCAGAATCTTAGAGAAATTCTAACCTCTCTAACTTCTTACCAACTGTTTATCTTTCCTTGTTAAAGTTCTACACTTTAATGTGCAAGTCACATAAAATATGGCATTTAATTCCATTGTATTAATTTTAGGGAGTTCTTGTTTTTCTTAAGAGTATGAAATCAAAGAGGACCAGAGTGATATGTGTGGTCTTATCCAAAACATGAACACCAACAGTGAATTTCACTCTTATACAGAACTAATCTGTGTTTAGAACCTACAGAGTCAAGGTTTATCTCCAGGTAAAACTGTTGGAACATGTCTCAGAATTGGCAGAATCACTGCCCTCCTCTATTCAAAAAA